ATGGCAGTTTGAACAATGTGCTTCCATTGTCCCAGTTTGTTTGCAATTCATTGTGTCAGGGTTGGAAACATGGGAAAAATCCACCAGTTTTATTCTGATAAAGCTAAATCATCTGGCAGTAATGCTGCTCTAGGTTATAGTGATAGGGCAGGTCTCGGCTACATCATTTTTCTTAAAGGAATGCAAGAAAGCAACATGATGCCAAGTTTGAAATTGTTTTTTTAAATTCAGATTGTGGATTTCATACCGTGTTGGGAACAACAGATTGTACACATGTGGTTATCAGTGAGGAGATCTTTCCATTCTGTGAACAGGAATGTATTCTGTGGTAGGAACTGTACAATCGCAGAGTGGCAGCAAACTTCAAAGGGTCTTCTCGTGACTGATTCATTTTTGTCACCTCTTCCATGGCACAAAGAACTAACATGTCGAAAATGTCAATATAAATGCGGGCAATGCAAAATCACAATAAAATAGAACACAGGAACAGATTGGCCATTCAGCCTTATTGAGCTTGTTCCACCTTTTTTTTAGATCATGGTTGATCTACAATTAATAGTATTTCCCTGTCCTATTGCCATATTCCTTGATACCCCTGTCACCAAATATCTATCTACTTTTCTCTTAAATATTTCAATTGCCTTGCTCAGAAATTATCACTTAAAAGAATTTCCAAGGGGCCATTTTAAGAAATACTCCATTCTCAATATAATTAGTTTGCTGCACTACAATTTATTTGAGTTGTTTCTCATGGCTCATTCATCTTTTAACGATAAAACAATAATGCTCCTTACTAGTGATATTGTGCCTTTCATATCAGCAGGACATCTCAAAGCACTTCACAGGATACACTGTAAGGTGCAGTGACTCTGTTGCAGGTGAATGCGACAGTCAATTTGCATTCAATACCGTCTCACAAATATCCATAAAGTGAATAACTACTTTTATTTGGGTGATTATTGGTCCTTTTATGTCATGGAGAAATTCCCTTCTCTTTAAGAACAGCCACAGGATCTTTAATGTCCACTTGAACAGGCAGGCGGGATCTCAATTTAACATCTCCTCCAAAGGACGGCAGCTCTGACAATGCAGCACGTCCCCAGCATTGCATTAGTCTCAGTGTGCACTGAGTTCAAAGTTCTGACGTGTGGTTTGTACCCACAACCTTCTGACTCAGAGGCAAGAGTGCTACTACCTGAGCCAGGCACAACCTTGTTAATGATTCACCTTGTTTCTCTTCTCTGCACTGTTTCTAGGTTCTGGTTATGTCAAGGTGACCAGATCTGTATACAATAGTTTAGATACTCACATGAACACAAGGTTGATTTGGTTGAAGAAAGCCCTTTGGACCATTTTATCTCATCTTTCCAGGACACCCAACCTAATCGACTTCCCATCACAGATCTTGGGCACCACAGTTGAATTCCAGGCCCCTGAGCTATGCAAGGCAATAATCATCCAGGAGTTCCACTCGTGATCACTGTTCAATGAACCATTGAAAGGTGCTCATGTGTGGATGTCAGGTAAGAACAGGATCACGCTCAGTTGTGAGGTCTATGGCTAATTGGCTTATCAACAGTCACTGTCTAGATTTACCTTTAAAGTCACCAGTTATGCGAGGTACCAGAAACCATATCCTGTGATATATGGTCATCCACCTCATGACTATTTATTGGAACAATGGCTATCACGTTCGCCTACAATATACACACTCACTACACTTTGCAGTATATTCTGTGAAGCACTTTGAGTTGTTGACGTGACAGACCCTAAATCAAAAGTAGGGATTATAATCCTGCCTGACTATATATAGCTTGAATATGAATTCTGTAGATCTGAACTCAACTAATTTGGGAATATTGCCCAGCATCCTATTTGCCTTAATTGCTGCCTTACATTGTTTGCAAATGTTGAGCAAGAAAATTAACTAACACCCAGGACTCTTTCCAACTTTTCCTTTAGTGAGTTCTATCCCATCCATGTGCTTCCACTTTTACATTCTCATCCAAGAATATTTTAAGGATTGCAGTCAGAACTTCTGCTATTTTCTCTCTCATTCCCTCAGCATTTTGAATGCATGCCATCAGGGCTTTGTGACGTTTCTACTTTTGCGTTGTGTCAGCCTTTTCTGTACAACTTCCTTTCTTCTGTTCTCGTTGTTCTATTTTCTCCTCTTGTATCTCTATATTCTCACCAAACTGTAAAATCAGAGGCAAAATACTCATTTAACATCTCTGCCATTCACTCTCAATGACAATAATTCCCTTTTGTTATTAATTGGTCCCTACTCTTTTAAAATATTCTTTTGCTTTTTACCTGTTGATAAAATTGTTTATTATTCCTTGACTTTTGTTCCTTTACACAATACTCTACTTGATTTTCTTTTATGTTGATATCTCTAGGTTTGTCAAATGCATTATTTTTAAGTAGCACTTTGACTCTTAACAAAGGAAGAAAAAAGCAATAATAATCCTTGCATTTATTTATATTTGATATAGCACCTTATCGCATCTTCTAGATGTCTCAAAGCACTTCACAGAATATTCTGTAAAATGAATTGACTGTATATTTTGTGGGTGAAACACGATAGCTAATTGTGCACAGAAGTGACCCACAAACAGTTGTGGATTGAAGTGACCAAATTTATTATTATCTCTGGAAAAGCCATCTGCAAATCAACTAAAATCGACTGAATCGGGTTCCTACTTACTGACTGCTAGGTAAACAGAGGCGTGTGGAGTAAGGAAACTTGCCTAACGTTTCACCCTGCCTGGGAATCAAACCTAGGTCCTCTCACTTGCGAGGCGAGTAATCTTAACAACTAAGCTACAGGACTCCCCAATAATTTCTCATCTCTCTCTGGTTCTAACAATAATAATAATAATAATAATCCTTGCATTTGATATAGCGCTTTTCACGTCGGGAGGACGTCCCAAAGCGCTTCACAGAACACACTGTAAAGAGAATTGACTGTATATTTGTGGGCGAACGCGGCAGCCAATTGCGCACAGCAATGTCCCACAAACAGTCATAGATTGAAAATGACCAATTTATTATTGTTTTTTTTTTTTTGGAGGGATTATTATTAGGCGTGTGGAGTAAGGAAACTTGCCCAGGTTTCGCCCTGCCTGGAATTGAACTCAGGTCTCTCACTTGCAAAGCGAGTGCTCTAACCACTGAGCTACAGGACAATATTATTATTGTCACCTCAAGGCTGGACTACAGAAACTCCCTCCTCGTCAGCCTCGCCAACTCTTCCCTCCACAAGCTGCAGATCATCTGGAACCCTGCAGCTTGTATCCTCTCCCACACCAGGCTCGGTGAACCCATCACCCCCACCCTCGCCCGGCTCCACTGGCTCCCCATCCCTCAGAGGATAGAATTTGAATTCCTTGTCCTCACTTTCAAGGCCCTCCACGGCCTTGCCCCCTCCTACATCTCTGACCTGCTGACCACCTATCAACCTGTCTGTTCCCTCCATTCAGCAGGCTCTGGTCTGCTCCAAGTCTCCCGCCTGACCCGCCCTCCCGTCAGTGGCCGGACTGTCAGCCTCTCTGCCCCCACCCTTTGGAACTCCAGTCCACAATCCCTTCACCTTGCTCTCTCTCTTGCCTCCTTCAAGACCCACCTTTTTGACCATACCTTCAGCCGCCCTCCTACTCCCTCTGCCCTCCCTCCTCCCAACCCTGCCCTCCCCACACTTGGGTCCTGATCCCTGACTGTTCAGGGACTTTGGGACGTCCTTTCTACGTGAAAGGCGCATTACAAATGTAATCTTGTTGCTGCTGATATAACCAATGCCCTGTCACACACACTGTCACTGCAATATAGACACACATGTCACACACACAATGTCACACATATACAGTCACACACACACGTCGCATATAGTGTCACTCACAGTGTCACACACACAGCTACACACAGTGACACACACGCAGTGATACACACAGTGACACACACAGGGTCACACACACACACACTGTGGCACACACACAGTGACACATAGTGACATGGTGTCACACATAGTGAGTGCCACACAGTGACAGTGTCACACACACACAATGTTACACACCAGTGTCACACAGAGTGAACAACAACAACTTGCATTTATATAGTACCCTCCACGCCGCGTCTCAGAGCGTTTAACAATGGTGGAGCCGAAGGCTGACCCAGGGGGAGGGGGAAGGTGACCGTAGGCGCTATTGAAAAGGTAGGTCTTCAGGCACGACCAGAAGATGGGGAAGGAGGGGCCAAAGCAAAGGGGTTGAGGGAGGGAGTTCCAAAGTTTCTGGGCGTAGTAGCTGAAGGCACAGCCGCCAATGGTGGAGCAGAGGATTTGGGGGACGCGGAGGAGACCGGACTCAGCAGAGTGGAGGCAGCAGGTACTGCTATGGGGAGAGAGGAGGTTAGAGAGATAGGGGGGTGCCAAGGAATGGAGGGATTTAAATACTAGAGTGAGGATCTTAAAGCCGATCCGCTCAGCAGTTGGATGGGGAGGGGGTCGACACGTGCACACAGTGACACACACACAGAGTGACACACACGCACAGTGACACACACACACTGTCACTCACACACAGTGACACTCACACACACACTGACACACAGTGACACACACACTCACACACACAGTGACACATACACTCACACACACAGTGACACTCACACACAGTGACACTCACACACACACTGACACACAGTGACACACACACTCACACACACAGTGACACTCACACACAGTGATACAGTGACACAGACACTCACACAGTGACACACTCACACAGTCACACACAGTGTCACACACTCACACACAGTGTCACACACACAATGACACACACTCACACACAGTGACACTCACTCACACAGTGACACACTCACACACAGTGACACACACACAGTCACTCACACACACACAGTCACTCACACACAGTGCCCTCTGACCTCTCGCAGTGTTTTGCGCGGCTCGGCTTCTCCTTTCCTCTGATTGGCTGGTGACGAGCTCTGCGTCTGACGTACGTGTGTCACGTGACGGCGTGAGAAACATGGCGACGGTGGCAGATATGTTCGATGTGAGCTGGGAGGGTGAGTGTGAGAGAGAGGGGGAGCGGGGGGGGGAGCTGGGGGGGAGAGGGGAGCTGGGGGGGAGAGGGGGAGCTGGGGGGGGAGAGTGAGGGGAGAGGGGGAGCTGGGGGGGTGAGTGAGGGGAGAGGGGGAGCTGGGGGGGGGGGGAGCTGGGGGGGGGGAGCTGGGAGGGTGAGTGTGAGAGAGGGTGAGCTGGGGGGGGGAGAGGGGGGAGCTGGGGGGAGAGGGTGAGCTGGGGGGGGGGAGAGGGGGAGCTGGGGGGGGAGAGTGAGGGGAGAGGGGAGCTGGGGGGGTGAGTGAGGGGAGAGGGGGAGCTGGGGGGGGGGGAGCTGGGGGGGGGGAGCTGGGAGGGTGAGTGTGAGAGAGGGTGAGCTGGGGGGGGGGGAGAGGGGGAGCTGGGGGGGGAGTGTGAGGGGAGAGGGGGAGCTGGGAGGGTGAGTGTGAGAGAGGGTGAGCTGGGGGGGGGAGAGGGGGGAGCTGGGGGGGGGAGTGTGAGGGGAGAGGGGGAGCTGGGAGGTGAGTGTGAGAGAGAGGGGGAGCTGGGGGGGGGGAGCTGGGGGGGGGGAGCTGGGGGGGGGGGGAGGGGGAGTGTGAGAGAGAGGGGGAGCTGGGGGGGGGAGCTGGGGGGGAGAGGGGGAGCTGGGGGGGAGAAGGGGAGCTGGGGGGGGGGGAGGGGAACTGGGGAGGGAGAGGGGGAGCTGGGGGGGAGAGGGGGAGCGAGAGGGGAGCTGGGGGGGAGGGGGAGAGAGGGGGAGCTGGGGGGGGAGAGGGAGCTGGGGGGGAGGGGGAGAGAGGGGGAGCTGGGGGGGGGGAGAGGGAGCTGGGGGGGAGAGGGGGAGCTGGGGGGGGAGAGGGGAGCTGGGGGGGGGAGAGGGGGAGCTGGGGGGAGGGGGGGAGGTGAGGGGAGAGGGGGAGCTGGGGGGGTGAGTGTGAGGGGAGAAGGGGAGCTGGGAGGGTGAGTGTGAGGGGAGAGGGGGAGCTGGGAGGGTGAGTGTGAGGGGAGAAGGGGAGCTGGGAGGGTGAGTGTGAGGGAGAGGGGGAGCTGGGGGGGGAGGGGGGGAGAGGGGAGAGGGGGAGCTGGGGGGGTGAGTGTGAGGGGAGAAGGGGAGCTGGGAGGGTGAGTGTGAGGGGAGAGGGGGAGCTGGGAGGGTGAGTGTGAGGGAGAAGGGAGCTGGGAGGGTGAGTGTGAGGGGAGAGGGGAGCTGGGGGGGGAGAGTGAGGGGAGAGGGTGAGCTGGGAGGGTGAGTGTGAGGGGAGAGGCGGAGCTGGGAGGGTGAGTGTGAGGGGAGAGGGGGAGCTGGGAGGGTGAGTGTGAGAGAGGGTGAGCTGGGAGGGTGAGTGTGAGAGAGGGTGAGCTGGGAGGGGGAGTGTGAGGGGAGAGGGTGAGCTGGGAGGGTGAGTGGGAGAGAGAGGGAGAGTGAGTGTGAGGGAGAAGGGGGAGAGAGAGGGGGGAGTGTGAGCTGGGAGGGGAGAGGGAGGAAAGAGGGGCGGGGAGTATGAGGGAGAGGGGGGAGAGAGTGGGGGGAGTGTGTGAGCTGGGAGGGTGAGTGTGAGGGGGGGAGAGAGGGGTGGAGTGTGAGCTGGGAGGGTGAGTGTGAGAGGGGGGTGTGAGAGAGGGAGGGAGAGAGGGTGAGTGTGGGGGGAGAGTGAAAGGGGGAGGGGGGGAGAGAGAGATAGGGAGGGGAGAGAGAGATAGGGAGGGGGAGAGAGAGATAGGGAGGGGGAGAGAGAGATAGGGAGGGGGAGAGAGAGCGTGTGAGAGAGAGGGAGAGAGCGAGAGGGGCGGGGGGAGAGTGAGAGAGAGAGAGGGAGAGTGTGAGAGCGGGAGAGGGAGGGAGAGAGAAGACAGAGAGAAGGTGGGGAGAGCAGGAGAGAGAGAGGGAGGGAGAGATAGAGCGTGTGAGAGAGGAGAGAGCGAGGGGGGGGAAGAGTGTGAGAGAGCAGGAGAGAGGGGGAGGGAGAGGGAGGGAGAGAGAGAGGTGGGAGGAGAGAGAGTGTGAGAGAGAGAGTATGAGAGAGGGGGGGGGAGGGAGGGGGAGAGTGTGTGGGAGAGTGTGAGAGAGCAGGAAAGAGAGAGCGAGGGAGAAAGTGTGTGTGAGGGAGAGAGAGAGACAGAGAGAGTGTGTGTGAGGGAGAGAGAGAGACTGAGAGAGTGTGTGTGAGGGAGAGGGAGAGAGAGAGGGCGCGCGTGTGAGAGAGAGTGTGAGTGTATGGGAGACGACTGTGTGGGAGACGACTGTGTGGGAGACGACTGTGTGGGAGACGACTGTGTGGGAGACGACTATGACGGAGAAACTGGGAGACTGAGAGGGTGTGAGAGAGACAATGGAGAGAGCTACACTATGACAGTGACGATCGAGAGATGTTACACTGAAAGAGTGTGAATGTGACGAGAGAGAGAGCTACACTGAGAGCGACAATAGTGATATATATCAAAAATATTTATAGAGAGTGATTTATACAGACAGAGTGAGAGAGCTACACTGAGAGAATGATATACATATATTTGTGTATATATATAACAGAGTCAAGAGCTATATATATATATAAAATAAAACTTGCATTTGATATAGCACCTTATCGCGTCTTCGAGACGTCTAAAAGCGCTTCACAGAATATACTGGAAAGTGGATTAACTGCACTTTGTGGGTGAAATGCGGCAGCCAGTTTTGCAACCAGCAATATCCCACAAACAGTGAAGTGAATGACCAATTTTATTTGGGGGCTCGTTGGCCAGGACACCGGGAAAAACTCTTCTCTTTTCAAATAGTGCCATGGGATCTTTAACATCCACCTGAATAGGTAGACAGTACCTTGGTTTAATGTCTCATCTGAAGGACAGCACCTCACACAATGCAATGCACCACAACCCAGGACTGCATTGGAGTGTCAGCTTAGACAATGTGATACCAAGTCCTGACATGGGGTTTGAACCCACAACCTTCTGACTCGGGCGAGAGCGCTACCACTGAGTGATGCTAAAGTTAGAGAGAGTGAGATAGAGAGAGGGAGGGGGGAGTGAGGAAGGAGCGAGAGACTGAGAAATATAGATAACTTGTGAGAGATTGATGTGTGTATATATGTGACAATAGAGAGAGAACTACACAGAGAGTGTGAGAATCACAACAGATATATATATCTATATACATAACAACTTGCATTTATATAGCTCCCTCATGAGGAATCACGACCCAGAGCGCTTGACAGTGGCAGAGTATGACACTGAGCCAGGGAGAGTTGGCTCTAGGCACAGTCGGAAGAGGACGATCTTCAGGTTCGGTCTAAATATGGGGAAGGAGGGGGCAAAGCAGAGGCATAGAGGAAGACTGTTCCAGAATTTTGTAGCACAGTGGTTCAAAGCACGGCCACCTATAATAGAACGAGGGTCAAAGGGACATGCAGGAGACCAGAGCCAGTGGAGCGAAGGCAGTGGGTTGTGGAGTAAGCAGGTCGGAGAGGCACACAGACTGCAGAGAGACAGACAGACACAGATAGCTGAGAGACATAGACAGACAGATGGAAAACAGACTGGCTTGGAAGGTGGGTGGCGGGCAGACAGACAGTTGGACCAACTGACTGACAGACCAACCGGCGGATGGATGGATGACTGTCAGACAGAGAGAGGGCAGTCAGTCAGAATGTAGACAGATAGACAGTCGGATGACAGACAAAGAACTGCTGGCAGAAAGGCAGACATCAGACAGACAGATGGCAGACGAATAGACAACAGATGACAGGCAGATGCACGGCGGGTGGCTGGCTGGCAAGCTGGATGGGCAGCTCCATGGCAGTCCAGCCAGATGGCCAGCCAGGCAGCCAGCAAGTGAGCGAGACACAGACCAATGGAAGCAGATAGAGGTGAAGGCGGAGTCCGGCAAAGAGCTTGCAGGTATACACCAAAGTGTCAGACAGACAGATAGAGACAGGCAAACAAGAGTGAGGCAGGCCAGAGGGAGAAAGTGGCAGACTGACAGACAGAGAGAGGCAGGCAGAAAGAGCAAGAAGGGCAGGCAGATGGAGAGTTGCAAATCAATCCCCTAAACTCTGTCCCTCTCCACCTGACCCTGATCCAACCTCTCCCTCTTCCCTGATGTCAGTCCATCTCCCTGATCTCTCCCAGCTGATTTTATACCCCCTTTTTTTCCCCCAACCCAGGTCCCTTACTTCCTGATTGTGATACCTCATTCATTGTATATACAGGTTTATTGGGGGCTTCTTGCAGTAGACAGCATTTTCTGAATATGGGTTGTACAATTTCATCGAATTGTGAGTTGCATCACTCTGGAGCTGAGCTGCTGAGATTGCTAAATAACTTGTTTGGAACAGGCTCCCACCTCGCAAGTGAGAAGACCTGGGTTCGATTCCTGGGCAGGGCAAAACATTGGGCATGTTTCCTTACTCCACACGCCTCGGTTTACCTAGTAGTAAGTAGGAATCTGGTTGTTAGTCGATTGGCGGATCGCTTTCCCAGGGGTAATAATCCCTTCAAAAAATAATCAGGACAAATTGCATGACTTAATCCACAACTGTTTGTGGGACACTCCTGTGTGCGATTGGCTGCTGTGTTTCACCCACAAAACATACAGTCAATTCACTTTGCAGTATATTTTGTGAAGCGCTTTGAGATGTCTAGAAGATGTGATAAGACATTATATCAAGTGCAAGGATTATTATCTATCCATAGATGTAGGATGTTAGTGTATGCAAATTGTCTGTCTCGTTTGCCTACAAATACACAGTCACTACATCTCACAGTAAAATCCTGTGAAGCATTTTGGTACTCCTCCATGACATACACTACATCAAATGCAAAATTATTATTACAGTGTTTACAATTGTGCTTTGTTTCAATAAGAAGCACTCCAAATGCCTTTGATTTTGCCTACCATTGTCCTTGTTCCCTGGGCATAAGGAGGATATGATTTGCACCATCTGTATTATGTTCCATTTTCTCTTTAAGGTTTTGTGGAGTCCTGTAGCTCAGTGGTTAGAGCACTTGCTTTGCAAGTGAGAGACCTGAGTTCAATTCCAGGCAGGGCGAAACCTTGGGCAAGTTTCCTTACTCCACACACCTAATAATAACCCCCCCAAAAAAACAAAACAATAATAAATTGGTCATTTTCAATCCTCGATTGTTTGTGGGACATTGCTGTGCGCAATTGGCTGCCGCGTTCGCCCACAGATATACAGTCAATTCACTTTACAGTATATTCTGTGAAGCGCTTTGGGACGTCCTCCCGACGTGAAAAGCGCTATATCAAATGCAAGGATTATTATTATTATTCTCCTTGTTTTCACAGATATGCGCGACAAATTAAGGAAATGGAGGGAAGAAAATTATCGTAACAGTGAACAGATAGTTGAAGTTGGAGAAGAGCTAATAAATGACTATGCATCAAAACTTGGTGATGACAGTGAGTATGTGACTATGAGAAAGGCATTTGTACAGCAATGTCCCACATACATGAAGTGAATGACACATTTTTGTATTGCAGGATTGTTGGTTAGGTTAGAGAAAGAAATTCTCTTCCCTTTTCAAATAGTGGTATAGAACCTTTAACGTCCACCTGAACAAACAGACAGGATCTTGATTAATGTCTCATCCGAAGGATGGCACCTCCGACATTGGAGTGCTTGCTGGGCACTGGATTGCAGCATCAAGCTGCAATAAATCATGAGCTGAAAGTCCTAACATGGGGCTTGAACTTACAGCCTTCTAACTCAGAATGACTGAGCCAACCTATTCTGCATAGTGTGAGGCCGGTAATGTCTGGATTAGTAGGATTTTACAGATTAACATTGAGGAGATTTCAAGATTTTAAAAAAATTGGCTGGGAAAGAAGTCTTGTGAGTGAGGACTGAATAAGACTAGTTGAAGGATGAATAGCATGGGGATTGTGGAGTTGGAGAATATGGATTGTGGTGTCTGTACCCGTGATCTAGTAGCTTCCTGATCTAGGACTTAGATCAAGATGTTCAGATTTGTGGTTGTGTTCTTTTTTATGTGTCTTTATGATGTAGTTTATTTGTCAATAATGGCCTTATCTACAAATGTGAGAAGGAAGTGCTTTGCAATAAAAAAAATGCTTGAATGATCTTTGGAAATGTCACATTGACTGCAGTCTAAAAATCATTGCAAGTTAAACTATTGTATTAAGAAGTAAAAGTACTGATGTGCATTGGGGAGATTTTAAGTGGAACGTTTCCAAATCCCTCACTGGTAGAAGTCTACACTCCAGTAAGAACAAATTACAATCAAAGAATGTATTAACGTATTACAGAAAAACTAATGAGGTTCTCTGGGTTCAATGCCTAAGAGGCCTTGTTATAAGCGAAGTGCGAAAAATGGCCAACTTCTGGGTGGTCAGATCACATTTCTTGTGCAAGAAGTGCCCTGATGCCCTCTGTGCAATGCGAAGGAAGTGCCACCAATGGCGACCTGAACATCTAGGAAGTCTTGTTAGCACAGTTCCACTCTGAGACCTGTGAGACAACAACAAGATTTCATTTATAGAGCGCCTTTCACGTCGGGAGGACATCCCAAGACGCTGGACAGTTGGGTCGGGACCCGAGCAGGGGGGAAATGGTCAGGGTGAAGGGAGGGAAGCAAGGGAGGGAGGAGGGGGTAGAGAGTCGAGAGGGGAGCTGAAGGCACGGTTGAAGAGAAGAGACGGTGGGCAACAATAACAACTTGCATTTAGATAGTGCCCGTCATGCAAGGTAGCATCCCGGAGCGCTTCACGGTGGAGGAGTCTGACAACGGGCCAGTGGGAAAGGGATGAGGTAGGTGACTGTAAGCAAGATCAAAAAGGAAGATCTTTAGATGGGATTTGAAGGTGGGGAAGGAAGGGGCAAGGCAGAGGGAGTGAGGAAGAGAGATCCAGATATTCGGGGCATAGTGGCTGAAGGTACGACCACCGATGGTGGAACGGAGGGCATGAGGGACAAACAGGAGGCTGGAGCCAGCTGAGCAGAGGCTGCGTGTGGTGGAGTGGGGAGTAAGGAGGTTGGATAGGTAGGGAGGTGTGAGAGAATGAAGTGATTTGAAAACGAGTGATCTTGAAATCGATCTGTTCGGTGATTGGGAACCAATGAAGCCTGGCAAGCACTCGTGTGATGGGGATACAGAGTTTAGTGACTATCCGGGGGGTGGAGTTTTTAATTAATTAGATTTTGTGTATCGTTGGGCTCGGGAGATCAGTGAGGAGAGCATTGGAATAGTCCAGCCAGGAAGTCACAAAGGCGTGGACGAGGGCTTCAGCTGCATTGGTTGTGAGGTATGGACGGAGTAAGGCAATGTGGCGGAGATGGAAAAAAGCAGCCCCGGCAGGCCTGTTATGACAGGGTTCCCTATACTCCTGTTCTTACAAACCTTTTGTTTGAACAATAATGTTTCTGTGAATGAAATAAAATAAATGAGTGGTAATTTAACAGTCATAAAATAATCAGTAATTAACAGAAAAGGGAACATTGGGAAGTCATTTCAAAGCAGAAAGAGTTCTCTGCTTGCTTCTGCGTCATGGCAATTGAATCCTGAAAAGGGTGAGAAGGTTTCTGTGGAAATAGTTCCAGTCATAATATTTTGGACACATTTGGTGTAACAACGAAAAAAAGGAGAAAGGGCTTACTTTTAGATTTAATTAGAGATATTGGATAATGTATTCAGTATACTGTGGGAATTGCTGTAATGTGCATTTTGTTTATCAATTTGAGTCTTTAACAAAGCGCTTTGAGACCTCTAGAAGATGTGAAAAGCGCTATATCAAATGCAAGGATTATTATTAAACCTTTATAAATTAATGAACAGACACCTTATCTGCTGACACTTGTGTTTGCAAGAGCACACAATGTTTATTTGCAGAATTGTCATTTCTGTGAATGTTCACAATGATAACTGGACCTATTCCTCCTCCACTCCTTGATATTTACTCAAAGAGGTGATAGTTTCTGCCAATATTCAGTGGAACTACTTTACATACCTTTTAAAAAAAAATAGTTGAGCCTTGAATATGAATACAAATATCAAGGCAGAAGGGAATGTAAGAGACCTTAAAGGAAAAAAGGGTGTGTAGCAAAGATAGTTTACTAGTTAATTTAATTCAAAGAACAAGTATGCCAAAATGACCCAGATTGTTTCTGTGAAATTATTTTTAGAAAGTAATTTTTGGAGTCAATAAAATACCCTGTAAAAAATATTTTTGAATTCCGTGTTCACTTCTCTGCTCCAGAATGTCCTGCCTGCCCTTTGCACCACTATCAGCCGTCCATGATACAGATAGGAGGGTCTTGAGACAGGCCTTGAAGGAGGTAAGGGAGAATTTTGGGGGTAAGGCAAAGGAACTGTGGGATGGAGTTCCAAAGATTGGGGGCAGAGAGACTCAATGAGACAATACAAGGTAGATTTTCCAGGTACTTTGCTCTCACTTGCATCTTTCTTAAGCTGTTTTACTACACTTTTTTTTACTACAAGGGCGAAACCTTGAGCAAGTTTGCTACTCCACACGCCTAATAATAATCCCTCCAAAAAGAAAGCCAATAATAAATTGGTCATTTTCAATCCACGACTGTTTGTGCGCTACGCGCAATTGGCTGCCGTGTTTCGTCCAAAAATATGTGGTTAATTCACATTACAGCATATTCTGTGAAGTGCTTTGAGACGTCTAGGAAACGTGAAAAGCGCTATATCAAATGCAAGGGTTATTATTATTATTGTCTAGCAAACCTGAATGCAAATTTCCCAATTACCAGTGTGAATAAAGGCGTATCTATGTACAATCTGGCAACAATTGATGGAAAAATGAGCAATTTGGGCACTGCCAGTGTTTGGCAGTGATGGGCCAATCTTTTTGGTCGGCAAACAAAATAAATTTTCTTGATTAATAATAATAATCCTTGCATTTGATATAGCGCCTTATCACGTCTGTAAGAATAACAATAGAGAATGATATATATAAAAATATTTATAGAGAGTAATTTATACAGAAAGCGTGAGAGATTTACACTGAGAGAATGATATATATATGTGTTATATATATATAGAGAGAGAGTCAGAGCTATACATATAATAAAGCTTGAATTTGATATAGTGCCTTATCACGTCTTCGAGACGTCTCAAAGCGCTTCACAGAATACACTGTAAAACTAATTGACTATATTTTGTGGGAGAAACGCAACAGCCAATTGAGCATAAATTTATATAAATGTAATTTATATTAAAGCTATAAATCAAGAAATAATCAAGTAAAACCTGGAAACACATTAGTGATTGATCACAGACTTACCTAGACTAGTGTGAATGTTCGGGTGGGGAGTGCTTCTTGAGGGCCCCATGGACCATGCGTTGGCCACCACTGGTGTGTGGTATTGTGAAAGCAGGGCATGGGAAATGAGCAAATGTGAAAAGGGCAGGAAGGAAAACCTTACATCTGAACAACTTTGATGCATCACATCCAAAACAAAGTTAACCATCTTTCCCTCCACCTGATTAATTTTGACTTTCTGGCAGCAGTCAATGACATATGATCGCTATAAAAGGTAACCTCTATGATTTTCATTTCATGATAGCTAAGCATAATGTAATCAGATGATAATAATCCTTGAATTTGATATATGGCCTTCCACATCAGGAGGACATCTCAAGGCAATTCATAGATAATGACCACGCATTTGTACGACTGGAATTGAGATACAGTGAACGCCAGATAACTAACCTGGCTTAACTTTTCACTATAAATTAAGTCGCCATGCTGCCAATATCCTGGCCACTTCCCAAGCAAAATGTTAATGAAGCACTCCTCTTTACTTGTCACTCCGATTAATACATAACTAATTGCATTCTAGGAATTCTTGTAAGGGATTCTTATCAATTCTTATCAAGGGAATTCACTCCACGGTCACGTCCCCTCCAACATCCACCAACCCCCCACCCCCTCACTCCTACACTCCGACTGCTACCCATCCTCCCCTACTCACTTTTGTACCCGTTTCCCCACCCTCTGTCACTAAACTCATCCTATCCCTAAAACCAACCACCTGCTCCCTTGACCCCATCCCCACTCCACTCCTTATCTCCCAGCTCCACTTTCTTGCCCCACATATCACCGACATCATCAACCTGTCCCTCTCCTCTGGCTCTGTCCCCATTCCCTTAAAAACTGCCATCATCACGCCCACCCTGAAAAAACCCTCCCTTGATGCGTCGCAGCTATCAAGCTACCGGCCCATCTCCAACCTCCCCTTTCTCTCCAAGGTCCTGGAAAGAGTTGTCGCCTCCCAACTGCGCTCTTTCCTTTCCACCCATTCTCTTTTTGAACCCCTTCAGTCAGGTTTCCGTGCTGCCCATAGCACAGAAACTGCCCTGGTCAAGGTCACCAATGATATCCTGACCATCTGTGACCAGGGCTCCCTCTGCCTC